AAGATGGTATTTTATGGGTGATATTTTTGCCCCCTCACGTGAAGAAAGAAAATGGGGATATGTGGGGGGTTGTGTGTGGGGGATAAGCATGGGGGACAAAGCATGTGGGACAAATATGGAGGACAAGCATGGGAGACAAAGGTAAGTGGAGTGGGGACACGCCTGGGAGGATGCGAGCGGAAAAGATGGACCGAGAAGTGAGGTATTGGTGAGATGAGTGGGAAAAAACTCAAGCATGGTCAAAAATTAGGTGCTCACAGTTAGTTAGTTGAAGATAAATTAATTTGTAATATGCTGAGTAAGCATGTAGTTATGGGAGTAGTTGTATGTCTATGCTTTTATACATAGATATGCTGAGTCACCATGTAGTTAGTCGTATTTTGTATTTTCAGATACTTGTATTTTAGATACACGTGTGTACATATATACACATTGTAATAATGAGAAAAGTAGTAGAGTTCCATTTTTTAATTCCTCTTCATTCTCTCTCTACTCTCAGATATTTTCCTCACTCAGAACCTTCTAGAGCCTTCATTGGAGCTCCTCTGTGAGCTCCATCTCTTCTTCTTTGTGATAATCTCGATATGGTATCAGAGCCAGCGGAATGTATTTACTCGAAGTCTGACGGATATTTTGTGTCTTAAGACCTCTCTTTCCCCGTTGCCTGCTAGGGTTTGGTTTCGTGATTCCGATCTGCGATTTCTGTACGAAGTGAAGAGATCTTCTATAAAATCTATCTGTCCATTCACTAAATCGTTTGGAACATTCGTCAATTTCATCATTTATAGCTTCTCCCATGGCTGTCGATCAAACCGAAGAACTCATCCCCATAAGAGCAGAAATGATCAACCAGTCATAGATGCGAGTAGTCCCCTATACATTCATCCTTCGGATAGTCCCGGAGTGATGCTAGTGTCGGTTCTATTTGACGGAATTAGGTATAGGGCGTGGAAAAAGAGTGTGTTGAGAGCCATGTCCGTCAAAAACAAATTAGGGTTCGTAAATGAAGATTGCATGAAACCTGCCCCCAATTCACCTTAGTTTCGTCAATGGGAGAGGTGCGACGACATGGTAACTTTCTGGATTCTTAATTCCCTCGTAAAGGAGATTTCTGATAGTGTTGAGTATGTTAATGATTCAGTAGAACTATGGAGGGAACTGGAAGATCGATATGATCAAACAAATGGTGCAAAGTTGTATCAGATCCAAAAGGAGATTAACGACCTTATTCAAGGCTCTTTGGACATCACTGCATATTACACATGGATGAAAAGATTATGGGAAGAACTGAGCAATCTAAGTGCTAAGTCTCAGTGCACTTGTATTTGTGTGGATCAAAGGAAATTATGCATAAGGCAGAACAAGATAGACGACTCATACAATTTCTGATGGGCCTAAATGAAGTCTACACAACAGTGCGAGGAAGTATTTTGATGATGAAACCTCTGCCATCCTTGGCACAAGCTTTCTCTCTATTAATACAAGAGGAGAAGAAGAGTGAATTCAAACCAAACAATCAGCTGAATCTCAAGTCTACTTCACTGCATGTGAATACTGCACCTTCACAATATCAAAATCCACTTGGAGCTAGGAATTTTAAACTGCATTATACTGCCAATAATAGGGGTCGACCATTCTGCGACTATTGCAAAATGCCAGGTCATACAAAGGACAAATTCTACAAGTTACATAGGTATCCCAAGAGCAATTCATACAACAATCAAAACTTAAATCACACCAACACCTAACAATTCAACCAGGGTAATAATTCAAGTCAGATTCAAGGTCACAAATTCAACAGAGAAAAATGAGTTGTGGCAAACGTACATGGAGTCCCAGCTGATCTTCTCCACGAGAAAGAAGATGATCCAACCTTGCATGATGAGAATCAAAATATCAGCCTGACAAAAGAACATTACGGGCAGATAGTGAATTTGCTACAACAATTTCAGACAGGAGGATCTCGCAGAAATGCCAATATCACCAGTGGTGCTATCAACTTTGCAGGTATTGTAGTCTGTACTTCTTCTATTGATTTTGACAAACCATCATGCAAATGTTTCGAATCTAAGACTGACTTTTGGATCATAGACTCAGGAGATTTTAACTATATGACCTTCAATAAAAATGCACTTAGTAACATCACAACACTACCATACCCTCTATTGATAAGCTTACCAAATAGATATAGGGTGAAAGTGCTTGAATTTGGAGATGTGATACTTAGTTCTGAAATTACCTTACATAAAGTTCTCTATGTTCCATTCTTTTAATACTACCTGATTTCTGTCCATTCACTTGCAACACATCTCAAATGTATTGTATTCTTTACTGATGCACTGTGTCTGTTGCTGGCCCCTTCAGTGAAGAGGCCTCAGGTGATTGGTAGTAGCAAGGAGGGACTATACTACCTAAGTTCTAGGTGTCTGAAGGGTAAAAACACTGTTTCAAATGCTAATGTGTCAATTTCTTGTTGCAACTGTTCTTCTTCTACTAGTGTAAATAGTGGAGTCTTTAGAAGTCCTGCTCATTCACATCCTTATTTAGCAAATGTAAATACTTCCATTCACAATAATAAGAATGAGTCTTCAACTGTGTTAGATAAACATGATGTAAATGTCTTGTGGCATAATAGGCTTGGCCATGTTCCTTTCGTCAAAATGAGAGGAATATCCTTCATACCTGTGAATTTCTCACCTAAACAACCCTTCATTTGTTCAATTTATCCCATGGCTAGACAAGCCAGACTTTCATTTCCACAAAGAACCTGTGCTTCTACTCAGATATTTCAATTATTGTATGTTGACATATGGCCCCCCTACCATGTCACTACCTATGATAATTACAAATACTTCCTCACATTAGTGGATGATTTTAGCTCGTCCACCTGGACCCATTTGTTGCAGTAAAAGCAATGTCCTACAAACCCTTAAAGCTTTTGTAAACATGATTGAGAATCAATTCAACACCTCTGTGAAAACCATCAGATCTGATAATGGACTGGAGTTTAGCAGTCATGAAGCCACCACATTTTATCAATTCAAAGGCATTATTCACCAGAAAACTTGCCCTTATACTCCACAACAAAATGGGGTAGTGGAGAGAAAACACAAATATCTCCTTGAAACTGCCAGGGCACTCATGTTTCAATCCAAATTATCAACTAGATACTGGGAGAATATATTTTGATAGCCACTTACCTAATTAACAGGTTACTAACAAATGCCCTTTTAAACTCATATATCACAAGACACCCAATTATTCTCATATGAGAAGTTTTGGTTGTCTTTGCTATCCCACTGTGTCTAAGGTGCGCAAAGACAAATTTGAGCCCAGGACAACTCCTCGTGTCTTTATGGGCTATCCCTTTGGGACAAAGGATTACAAAGTGTTGAGCCTAGCCACTACAAAGATTCATGTCTCTAGAGATGTAGTGTTCTATGAAGATGTCTTTCCTTTTTCTTTAGGCTCTAAGAATGTTTCCATGTACAATGTCCTCAAATCAGGTCCCCTTCCTACTTACATTGAGAGTAACAATCCATATTCTAGTGTTCAAAGTCCTACAAGTATTACATCTCCAGATGTGCATCAACACCCTGAGTCCTCATTTGGTAATGATACTCTAATACATGTATCATACACCTTATCCCTTTATGCTCCTATCCCTACAGTTTCACATGAAGTTACCAGTCATTATTCACCAACAACTACCCAATCAGAAATACCCATGCTAAGAAAGTCTAACAGAACACATAAAACTCCTACCTACCTTAAGGATTACATTGTAACTTACCTAACACATCTTATCTTGTTGCTTCTCAAGGTTTACCTTCCTTAAGTGCACTTTTTTCCAATCACAATCATGTTACCCCTGATGCCCTATGTTCTAAGAGTCAACACTTAGTGACAGATATTTGTCATGATAGTGAGACATCCTCATATGGAGAGGTAGCACTCAATCTTGCATGGCAAGCAGCCATGACACAGGAATTTGAGGCTCTTTATGCCAACCACATTGGGACTTAGTACCTTTACCAGTTGGAAAATAGGTAATAGGCTGCAAATGGGTCTATAAGATCAAGCTTAAAGCAGATGGTAGTATTGAGAGATTTAAAGCTAGACTGGTGGTGAAAGGGTATACTCAACAAGCAGGGGTTGACTATACAAAAACCTTTTCCCATGTTGTCAAGATGACAACATTTAGAGTTTTAGTTACTGTTGTTATAAAGAAAGGTTGGGATATATTTCAACTTGATGTAAATAATGCATTCCTCCAAGGTGACCTATATGAATAGGTATACATGGAAGTGCCACCAGGTCTTTTGATTGATCAAACTAGCCCACATAAGGTGGTTTGCAAACTAAACAAATCTTGTATGGGCTGAAACAAGCCAGCAGGCAGTGGTATGCCAAGCTGACTGAAGCCCTGTCATCAATGGGGTACAAACATTCTGAAAATAATTATTCACCCTTCTCCAAGAAAGTTTCATCCTCTATTATCTTTGTAGCCGTGTATGTTGATGATGTTATCATCACTGGTACCGATTCAGTGGAGATAGCCAACTTAAAGTCATTCCTTGACGGACAGTTCAAAATCAAGGACTTGGGGAAACTTCATTACTTCTTGGGTTTGGAGGTCCTTTACAAGCCAGATGGTGTTATCATCTCCCAAATGAAGTTTACCTTAGACTTATTAAAGGAATATGACTACTTTGCCTACATCAGCTTGTCTTCTTCTCTTGATCCTGCTATGAAATTGAAGGCTGATGAAGGCACTCTTCTCCCAGATCCTACATACTACATAAAATTAGTGGGCAAACTGAACTTTCTAACCAACACCAGATTGGATATAGCCTACAGTGTGTAGCTCCTCAGCCAGTTCATGCAAGCACCTAGAGATACACACTTAACTACAGCTTTTCATCTTTTCAAGTACCTCAAGAAAAATCTCACACTTGAGATATTTTTCTCAAATGCCACTGATTGCTCTATCTCTGCCTATTGTGACTCTGACTGGGCATCCTGCCCTGACTCTAGGAGATCTGTCATTAGTTATATTGTTCTAGTAGGAGACAGTCCCATTAGCTGGAAGTCCAAGAAACAAGAGACCATTTCCCTGTCATCAACTGAAGCTGAATACAGGTCCCTTAGAAAAGTTGTTGGGGGACTGGTATGGTTAAGCAGGCTGTTTGAAGAGTTCACTATCCCATAGTCCAGTCCCATTGCTGTTTTCTGTGACAGCCAATCTGCTATCCATATTGCTCACAATCTCGTATTCCCTGAGCGGACAAAGCACATTGAGGCCGACTGTCACTTTGTAAGGAACAAACTCTAGGAGGGCGTGATCTCTCTTCACCATGTAGCCACTACTGACCAATTGGCTGACATTCTTACTAAAGCCCTCACAAGAGTTAAACATAATGTTGTTCTTGGCAAGTTGGCTGTGAGGCCCTCCCATCCAACTTGAGGGGGGTATTGAGATGAGATATAGTTAGTTAGTTGAAGATAAATTAATTTGTAATATGCTGAGTAAGCATATAGTTATGGGAGTAGTTGTATGTCTATGCTTTTATACATAGATATGCTGAGTCAGCATGTAGTTAGTTGTATTTTGTATTTTCAGATACTTGTATTTTAGATACACGTGTGTACATATATACACATTGTAATAATGAGAAAAGTAGTAGAGTTCCATTTTTTAGTTCCTCTTCATTCTCTCTCTACTCTCATATATTTTCCTCACTCACAACCTTCTAGAGCCTCCATTGGAGCTCCTCTGTGAGCTCAGTGGAGGACCCAAGTGGTGGCTAGCGGGTTCAGTTGAATCCGCTTCACAAAAAAATAATATTATTTATATGTATAAATTAAGATTAAAGCTGTGTAAATTTTGCATAAATATTTTATTTGAAACCACTTGACAACTAATATTTTACGATTAAATTTATATATTTCTAAGATTGAACTCGCTTGTACAAAATTCTGGGTCCGCCACTGTGTGAGCTCGATCTCTTCTTGTTTGTGATAATCTCGATAGAATTTGTTCTTTTCGAGCAATTTTTGAAGAAAAAAAAAATTGAATGACACATGTTACTTAACATGCAGGAAAATGGAACTTTAATAAGGCATTTGCATTTGGAGCTTGTGGCGGGCCCTAATTCACAAAGCTCTCTTGAACCACTTTGGACCTACTTTGATTCTATAGCTTCTAGCCAATGGAGGTCTCCGCTTCAATTGATCTTAGCTGGATCCCTTTCTGTTACATGTCTTGTCTAGTTGTCTGTGTATTTACGTAATCTAGGATTTTAAAAGTAAGGAAAATATTCGTAGTTATTGCAATTTAGTAACAAGTCATCTAATGACAATTGGATAGCCATAACACTTGGAGGAAGATTAAGGTTCGTCGTCGAGAAACAAGTTATTTCAGAATTAATTATTTTAGGATTAGTTATTCACTCTCTCATACGGATAAAAATAACATTACAATCCCAGAATAATTTATCTCAAAATTAGTTATACCGCAATTTTATTCCAACTAAACGTGAGATAAACTCATCTCAAATTTAATTCGGGAATTAATTATCCAAAAAGATAAACTAAATGTTGGCCGTAAACCAAATGTGCCTTAAACTAGGACATAAAATGCTATCTTCTTTCCAAAAGAATGCCACAATCGGAAATACGAGAATTAAAATATCTTTCTCAGCGTAATTTTTGAAAAGAAAAGGAGGAGGAAAATCTCAGTGTTTTTAAAATAAAAAGGTACACATTAAAAGTTACATAAAATTTTATAGAAATCAACTATTCTTATAATAAAAGCCCCGGATAATAGAAAAATTATTTAACTATCTAAATAATTATTGTATCATATTTTTGTTGGCAGAGCCGCAGAGGAACATGTAAATAAAAAGGAAAATATCATATTAACGGAGTATCGTAGAAGTGGAAGTGGCAGTCGGAGTACAAAAAGATAGTACTCGTAGACTACTATATAATAGTATAGACAGGAATTGCCTACATTTCAGTAAGTATATTAAATCGATGAGGAATCTCAAAGCATGCTAGTTGGTGATGACAAAAAGGGGAAAGACATGCTTTTTGGCTAATTAGCTTTTGCAAAGAGAACAAATCCATCTTTTATAATTTGCATGATACTTGGCATCAACTTAGAAAAGTGATCGAGAAAAAGAAACTAACTCACGTGATAGCCAAACACGCAGCATTGTACTAATATGATAAAGACATAAACTATTCATCTTTAGGTAGCTTAAGGTTAAACTAATCATTTCAGCTTGATTCGTCAATATTAAATTATCACCCAAAAAATAGTTTACTAGTTGACTTACAACGCTGTCCATTAACATTTTTATGTCATTTTATTCTTTCTGATGGTCCAAGATTCGTAGGGGTCATTTCTTAATGTCCACATATTCGAGTGATAAATTAGTGTTGTTCGGTTTTTAAGTCGAGGAGAATTATAGGTTGATGTGGTGAGTTTAACTCAACTCGTTGATTTTTGCTTGACATATACAAAAGAAATTCAAAATCTATACGCTTAATAAGATCATACTAATTAATTCTAAACTCAAACATATGAAAAATATAGAATATGTTCATATAACAACATTACACTANTGCAAGGGTGTTCAAAGTCTATTTTTAATCAATAGCAAGTACTCTCTCCGTTCACTTTTACTTGACATGTATACTAAAAATAAATTTTTATTTTTACTTGTCACTTTACGCATATCAAGAAAAGACATTTTTTTTTCTATTATACCCACAATATTTATTACTCATTTCAAATTATTTTCTCAAATCCAATAAAATATGCATCAATTAATATGGGTATCATGGTAAATTATGCACTTCATTTATTATTTTTTAAGGGGCGTGATAAGTCAAAACGTGTCAAGTAAAAGTGAACGGAGAGAGTAATATTTTACCTTATACGTAAGGGTGTTCAAAATTAATTTTTAATTAATAACAAATAATATTTTACCTTATACATAATATAAATTTTCGACGAAAGGTGGTTTGATGCACATGCAGAGTATAACTTTATATGTAAAATTAATTAAAGTTGCAATAAATAGTTAATATAAGCTCATAAATTTTAAAATATAATAAATTTAACATTAAAACCTTAAAAAATTAAACACGTAACGTTTAAATCATGAATTCATCCCGAATCCGTTAGCTCTAAAGTTTTGGCCTGAGCAGCGGCGATATTGTTTATTGGAGAGAGTGCAAAGGAAGAGGAAATTTGATTTTGGATTTTAGGATAAGAAATACGAAACCAAAAGCATTAATTTAGGAGTACTATGGACATATACAATGAGCCAAACAAGAACGTAATGATTCATTTGGTGACAAAGGGAAGTTTGGTCCATGCCATGCAGTAATATGATTACACGACAAATTGGTTCCCCCCAAATTGTACAGAGTTTCTTTGATTCGAGAATTCTATTCAAAAGCATGCAACTTTCAGCATTTTCCTGTCTTCATGCAACTTAATTACATCATTTTTCTTAGTCTTTGCCCACTTATTCAAAACAAACAATCTTGTCCAAAATCACCCCAAACTTTGACTGCTTGTCAAAGATGGCGAGACTAGTCTTTAACAAACCCTTTATTTGTCTTGGAACGTGGAAATCTCCTTCAGTTGGAAGTTGGAATTCACAAGTCTTGTTTATGTGTCCTTTTTCTATGTGCAAGACATTTGCCCCTCTTTGTCTTGGCACTTGAGTGTAAGGTTTGAACCAAAAGGTCATCCCTCTTACTTTTTCTTCCTCCATTGGTCAATGACTTGGGCCCCAACCCTAAAGGAAAAAAAAATTAATCTTAATAGACACTCACTCAATCGTTTAAACTAAAAATAGTCTGTGCATATATAATATATGTATAATATGTGTATAACTATATATAATCAATATATACTAATTTGAAAAAATAAATTTCAGGCAGCTACTAGCATAAAGATCCAAAGAAAAAAAGGAAAATAAAAATAATCAATTGGACAAACAATTAATAGTAGTACATATTCGTCGTTTCACAAATGTAAGTGGATGAGGAGATGTCCCTTTCAAAAATCCAAGGGAAGCAAAAAATACGGAAAAGGGAGTTTGGCAATGATGGGAAATTGGAATTGATTTTTGTGGAGAGAATAATGTGAATGGTGAGGAGACTATGTGCTCGATTATGCTTGGCTTTATCAAGCACAAAAGCACAAAGAATACAAAGACAGATTTCACGTACACATAATTGAAATGATTGTTTCCTTACCAAAGATTCGTAATCTTTTGATTGTTTGCCGTATCCGACCCGATCAGCCCGTTTGATACCCCTACCTCAGACCAAGACAATTCACACGATTCGGGTTTAATTTTGCTCTCAATTTTTCCTCCGAACAGAGTTAAAGTCATTCTAGGAATTCGCAGAACGCAGAGTTCGCACACCCTGCAGGCTTCTAAGTACTAACAACTAATCAACAACTCTATTGACTAATTTGGAAAAACTTTCTTGCAGTTGTTCGAGGAACTTGCCTGCAATTTTTGTTTGGCCCAAATAATTCGTTCATGATCCAGGCCCAAGTGAAGTGATCAATGACCCAAGAGAAAGAGGCCCGACTCAGTTAAATTATATTTTCATAAAAATTTCGGGTGATTGACAAGAATGACCCTATAAGGAGGGTGAAATTCAAAAATAGCCAGATTTACAAGTGGTAATTGAAAAATAGTCATAGTTTCAAAAGTAATCGAAATTTAGTCACTTTTCATGCAAGGATAAATATGAACGAAAATACTGTTCAAAATCCGAAAAATATTCCAGCATAATATACTGGACTTCCAGCATAATATACTGGTCCAACATAATATGCTGGAAGTTCATACACATGTGCTCCAATCTCCAGTATATTATGCTGGAACTTTCCGTGTGTTGGAGTTCCAGCATAATATGCTGAAAGTTCATACACAGGTGCACTAATCTTCGGTATATTATGCTGGAACTTTTCGTGTTGCAGCAAAATAATGGCTATTTTTTAATGACTTTGCAAACGCTAACTATTTTTCAATTACCAGTCCAAAAACTTGCTAGCCCATGCTATTTTCACCTATAAGGACAGTGGCGAATCCAAAATTTACAATTGATATCAGTATAAATTTCATCTATCCACCTTGTTATAGTGGATGCTCATGCCCATTTTATAGACTTTTTAAAGTATTATATATGCATAGATAAAATAGTGTGGCCAAGGTCAATGGGTGTTGAAGCACCCATAGCTCCAAGTGTATCTTTAAATATTATTTCTATTTTTGAATGTATTTAAAAAAATCAATACACACTTATTACTTGTCAGGTATTTCTCTACCGAATTGGTAGATTTTATACCATATTAACTCTACATATATTGTTTATTATTTATAAATTCTACACTGTTGATATAACTTTATAATTGTTCAATTGTTCACCAAATTCTATCATATTGGCATGACTTTGTGTTATCTGCATTCGACTTATTTATTAGATTGTTCACAAATTCTACCGAGTTGGCTTGATTTTATGCTTGTTCAATTATTCAACAAACTCTACCAGATTGGCATAAGTTTGTGTTATATGCAATTGACCTATCGATTAAATTATTATCAAAGTCTAATCATATGGCATACTTTTTTTGTGTTGTTCAACAAATTCTTCTTCGAAATTGCAATTTGAACATTGATCAAACCATCCCAAGTTTGCTTCAAATGATCTCAAATTTAAAATAAAATCTTCAAATACTAACACAAACGATCCCAATCACTAATTTAGTCAAATTATTCTAAATCAATAAAACTCACTTTGTCTTTTTCAAATCTAAGCTCAAATTTATTAATATTCAAACGATTTTAATAATAATCAATAATTAACTTCTAGTTCAAGAAGTTTTTTTTTTAATATTAAAGAACTATGGTGTTCTAGGTGAAGAAGAAGCCTATTTTTGTAACAGAGTTAAAAATAAAAATAATATTTAAAGGCTCATCCTTGGTGGGGGGTGGGTGGGGGAAAAACAGTGTAATATTTTGTGGTTTTAAGTTTTGTGTGCAAATAACCAATATAGGCATAAGACAAAACTGCTCCTCACCCGCTTCTTCTCCCTCCCTCCCCTTCTTCTTAGAGTAACTAGAGAGGAATTGTGAAGAAGACCTCCTCAAAACATAAACTGGTCAAGTGACCTCCTATTTTCTTTCTCAATTTCTTGTGGGTTGGAAAATGGCTAAATGAGTGGGTTAAGATAGATGGGGCCTTTTTAACATTTCCAAAACTAGTGAGTCATCTATAAGGTTTGAAAAATAAGCTTTATTTCTAATTTTTATGTCATATTCTCGTTTATCTCTTTACTCTCTCTTCTCTCTCACTCAACCCCCTCGACCACGATGTTTTCTGGCGGGAAAGGATAAAAATCAAGCTTCGATTTTGGGTGAAATCGTCTCTATAGACCCAACAAGCACTGTATTGTTGCTCAAAACGTGTCAATTTTGGTAAATTCTAATTTTTTTTTTCGTTTCTTACATTTGTGATTTGTGGTTTTATAGAGGGATTCATTCTTATGTAGTCATCGGCCTTCCTACACGTATGCGCCCGCAAGAATGCCTCCTTGGTTCGGGACGAAGCCAAGCCGATACATACGATAGGTGAAGAAAAGACCCCCATTTCATAGCGCCTGGGGAACGCAAGTTTGATCGAGGCATTGCATTGCTGTGTCAGAAGAAGGATAGCTATACTTATTCAGTATACTCTAAAGACACCCTCGGTACAATACTGACAATCTCACAAAGATGAAATTTCAGTGAATTGTCATTTACCTCATTTTTTATCAATAGCTTGTGATTTAGTTTTTGACGCAACAAGTAGGGGAAAATAATTCTTAATTGTTGGTACAAAAAATAAAGCAGCCGATTCAGTAGAGTGGGCTGCAATAAGGGCCAGTGTCATTATGTTAATAAAAAATAGCTTGGCAGTATGTTAACTAATCGGTCCACTACCAAAACAAGACTTCATAAGTTCAGGAACTTGAGAATGGAACAAAAAACAAGGAGACTCAACCGTCTCCCGAAAAGAGATGCAGCTATGTTGAAAAGACAATTATCTCACTTGCAAACATATTCGGGCGGGATTAAATATATGACAGGCTTACCCGATATTGTAATCATCGTTGATCAACATAAAGAATATACGACCCTGCGAGAGTGTATTACTTTAGGAATTCCAACAATTTGTTTAACCGATACAAATTGTGATCCCGATCTCGTAGATATTTCAATTCCAGCGAATGATGACGCCAAATCTTAAATCTGATTAATTCTTAACAAATTAGTATTCGCAATTTGTGGCTAGCTATATTAGAAATCCTTGATTAATAATAACATAATAAGATAAATAACTTACTTCAGAAATTCCTTATGGAATCGCTTACTATTTTTGAATTTCAAAAAAGAGTTAAAAATAATTGGGAATATTATATGATTTATTAGTATTCTAAATCTTAGTTGGTGTTCTAAATATCCGATTCAAGTAGACAAAGATATGGTTGAATCAAATGTTTTTGTTTAAAGTTCAGTTTTTTTTCAGAGGCCAAGGCAATATGAATGTTCTATCATGCTCCATCAATACTCTAAAGAGGTTATACGATATATTCGATGTGAAAATAGACCAATATTTCTATTGGCAAATAGGGGGTTTCCAAGTACATGGCCAAGTACTTATTATTTTTTGGGTTATAATTGCTATCTTATTAGGTTCAACCACTATAGCTGTTCGGAACCTACAAACCATTCCGATCGGGGGTCAGAATTTCTTCGAATATGTTCTTGAATTTATTCGAGATGTGAGTAAAACTCAAATTGGCGAATAATATGGGCCCTGGGTTCCTTTTATTGGCACTATATTTTTATTTATTTTTGTTTCTAATTGGTCAGGACCTCTTTTATCTTGAAAAATCATACAATTATTTCATGGGGAGTTAGTCGCACACACGAATGATATAAATACTACTGTTACTTTGGCTTTACTCACATTAGTGGCATATTTCTCTGCGGGTTTTACAAAAAAAGGATTAGGTTATTTCGAAAAATATATTCAACCAACCCCAATCCTTTTTTCCATTAACATCTTAGAAGATTTCACAAAACCTTTATCTCTTAGTTTTTTACTTTTCGGGAATATCTTAGCAGATAAATTAGTAGTTGTTGTTCTTGTTTCTTTAGTATAGTTCCTATACCTGTCATGCTCCTTGGATTATTTACAAGTGGTATTCAAGCTCTTATTTTTGTAACTTTAACCGTGGCTTATATAGGTAAATCCATGGAGGGCCATCATTGAGATATTCTTATTTAGTTTAGCCCAAAGCAATGTATAAATATGGTGGGTGGCTCAAGAGAATTACTTAACTTAGTGAATAGAATAGGAGAATCTAAATATATAAATATTTTCATGCGAGGATCGGTCATTGGTGATCTCTAGAAAACCCTTTTTATGAATTTTTGAGAGGTCAATCGGGGTATGAATGCTTTATTTATCACAAGGTAGAGATGAATACTATATGGTAGTGGCAGAAAATTCTTTAGCCTTAAATCGGGATATTCAGGACGAACAGGTTGTTCCAGCTCGATACCGTAAAAAATTCTTGACTATTGCATGGGAACATGTTTATCTTCGAAATATTTTTCCTTTCCAATATTTTTCTATGGAGCTTCCCTCATTCCTTTTATCGAACATAATGATGCGAATCGAGTTTTAATGAGTTCTAATATGCAACGTCAAGCAGTTCCTCTTTCTAGCTCAGAGAAATGCATTGTTGGAACTAGGTTGGAACGACAAGCAGCTCTAGTTTCACCCGTGTTACTTTTGTATTATTTTTTATTTTTACCCTTCTTCGTGTCTGATTCAGCGTAATCTTTTTTAAGAGCGTTTTGATGCTTTGAGATAACATAACCCAGATTTCCTTTGTTTTCTATATCTGATCCACACTCTTTTTCTCCTTGACTTGCGAGTTCTTTTGCTTCTTGAATTTGATTATTTTTTTTTTTATTTTTGTGCATGTTCAAGATCGATTGGGTCGTGTATAGCCATATCTTATATGGAGTGGGTGGTTATATTTGCTTCTTGGACTACCTCTGTGCTTTGTATTTAAGAATGTCGTCGGACTGGCGACCTAATATTTATTGATAAACCTGTATTCGATTGTCTTCTGGCCATATACGTTTGCTCAAATTGGGGCTTATTTTTCTTCTTCTGATATTAGCTTTCAAATTATTAAATGTGACATTGCATATTTATATGTAGGTAACACGAGGAAGAAATAAATTGCTAAAAAGCATATTCTTTCGGCAAAGAAAGCAATTACACAGCCTTCAAAGCCTCCAAACAGGAAAGGAAATGCAAAAACACAAGAAGCATCACCAAGTAAAGCAAATGCCGAGCCTTCAAAAACTACTACCAAAAAATGAAATGTAGATACTTCTAAAGCTTCCCCTAGTAAAGAAAATTCTGCGATTTCTAAGCATGATAGAAGGAAAATGAACAAAGAGCCATCAAAGTCTACCGGTAAAAAAGAACAAGATCAAGGTCTAGATTAGTTGACGAGGACATACTTGTTAGTAAAAAATCTGTTTCAATGAGCTTAGGATTAGAGGTGTTGATGATGAGGAGGAAGAAGACTTGGACATAAACTCAGCACAAACTTAAATGGAAGAACAGGTTTCCGAAAAAATAATTATCGAAAAAGAAAAGGACAATGATGATGAAACTTTAGGTGGGGAGGATGATGAAAATGGTGATGATGTTGCTCAGGAGGTTGATAAAAATGCTAAAGAAGAAGAAGACGATGCAACAGAAGAAGAAGATGATGAACAACTTGAAGATAGTGAAGATGGGTTGGAAAGTATAACACATGCAGCAATTGAAGGTGACCAGGATGCTCTATCAATTCCTGTATTTGTAAGGGAGATCGACGCATCTAAATACAAATTCAGAACTTTTCTAAGAAAGCATAGACCTTTCCCGGCCAACATTAGTGTGAGGTCTAGGATTAATTTATTCCATGAGTTCAAGGATAAACTTAAAACAGTCAAATTGATGGAAAAGTTTAATAGTAGTTATTTTGGATAGTCTGCAAAACTTTTAGAGCATCGGACACAGTTTAATGGGCAACTTGTCCATTTCCTACTAATTCACCGAATTTATTGCGTGAAGTAGCGCGAGTTAAGATTTTTAGTTAGAGACAAGCCTGTTCACTTTGGATTGAAGGAGTTTACTATGATGACTGTATTGAACTATGATGCGAAACCCAGTAAAGAAGAAATGAACAAAGTGATGGATAATGATGAAGCATTCTACGGTAAAGTTTGTCAGTCTAGCAGGAAGGGGGTGGAGTTTGCCAGTATAGAAGAAGTGAAATGAAAAAAGTGATGGCTGATAGATTGAAGTCCAAAAGGTTTGGCACAGAAGAGACGTTTAAGATTGCATTGGTGTGTGCAGCTTAATGACAAGCGAATGGAGTTGTTCACGAAAAAATCTGTGGTGGATATCTTCAGCGGAATGATGGATCCTTCTTAGTTTTATCAGTGTAATTTATATTTATGTTGGTCATAGGGCAAATGCATTTTGGGTGAACTTGTAGTAATTTATGATATTTGCATCTACCTTTATGTAATGAAACTACCTTTTTGTCGATTAACTATTGATGCTATAATTTTTGTTTCCTTAGCACTTCCTTTTTGTATTACAACATATAGCTAGAAGTTGCGTAATAGACAATGTGTCTCGTAATAAACTAGCTACTTAGTTGTGTAATAGACATTGGGTCCATCTATAAACTATCTACTTGGTTGCGTAATAGACTCTAAGTGGTGTCTAATAACTTCATCAAATATAACATTATATCAGGCAGCTAGAGGTTGCGTAATAGATAACGTGTCTAGTAATAAACTAGATACTTGGTTGTGTAATACACTCAAAGTCGCATCTAATAACTTCATCAAATATAACATTACATCAGTACAACATTATGATGGTAGGCTATAATCCCCTGTTTCACAGAGCGTAAATTGGTTCATATTGAAAGGTTGAGACTTAATCGAGAGATGAGTTTCTACTAAACAGTTGTACTGATAATTAAGTGAATTCGAGAGACTGACTTGAACATTAGAAATGAATTATCTAGAGTTAAATCCCAGACAATTATCTTACACTTATCCTATCAAAACCCCATTTTCTCCCATTGATATCTTCCTTTGCTTAGGCCTTGCTTCGATTGTCATTAGTCAGTTGGCTCTAGATTCTTAATTAATTTTAGTATTAACCACATAAATCTAAATTATTGATCATCTTGGATAGCAATCTAGCTACAAACTACGATAATACTATTTAACTCCAATCCCCGTGGATACGATATTATACTATACTATCTTTGGCTAGCGAACACAATTTAAGTGTGTGTTTTGCGCTCGTCAAATTTGGGGATGTAAATATGTAAATAATTGTTTGTTTTCGTTTCTTGTGTGTGTTTTCGTTTCTTTTGATTGAAACTTTTAAAGTTGATATGTATATATATATATATATATATAAAATATTATTATCTTTAGGTAGTATAATAATTTCTCCTTGATTTTTCTTTGTGCCGCGGTTCTTTTCCAAGGGTTTAGTTTGAACCAGGTGTAGTTAGGAGATCTTGTGTTGTGATTTTAAATAAAAGCAATATCTCTTGACTTTATTATGCCTTGAGAATAACAAGTGCTTTAGTTGTGACACTTATGCTCAGTTTTTGACTCTTGTATAAGTACCTTAAATTGTATGATCTTAATTTTGTTTAACTGCTTTGACTAGAGTATTTTGATGAGTCCGATCCTGAGTGAGTTATATGCCATGTGTGTGTGAGGTTTTGGGTATTCTGTGTATTGCATTTGATGTCTAGAATTTGCCCCGTGTGTTTGCAAAGCGAAATAGTAGTCTTGTTCAGTCTAGGAAGTAATATAGGCATTTCTTTGTTGAGACAGATAATTGCTTTTACCCACCAAATTAATGTGTATCTTATTTAGCCCCGTTGAGCCTATAATCCTATTTTTTTGGCAATCACACTACAAGCTTGACCCATTTGTTTGAATTGTGTACCTGTTTGAACCTTTTACCTCTCGTAAGTACTTGATTTTCTTATGAACTTATAAACCTAAGTGAGGTATGGTCGGATTTTGAGTGGAACTATAGAAAAAGGAGAAAGGTGCACTGTTTAAAAATTTGTGAGAGCCACATGCAGAGAATTAAAAAAAAAGAGTTTGATTGGAAAAAAAAATAGAAAGGAAAACAAAATCAGAACTTAGAAAAGAAAAAAAATTGATTCCTTGCTAGTGGTAGTTCTCACCTTGCATGTGCTTAAATATATGGGGAGCTTGAACCTATAGTAATGAAGGTTGGGGCTTGGTTCTGTCATGACCCAATTCTCTCCGTAAAATATTGTGACGGCACCTAGTCTCTACGACTAGGTAAGCCTAACAAAGATGCGAAAATAACAAAAAATGAAAACAAAACTTAACAACTAACTGTAACAGATAACTAAATAGCTGATAACAATGCCGCTTGGCATTTACAACAACCAACACTCTAATAATACACAGTATTTCCAAAACCCGAAATATCATAAGTCATAAGATACAAGATGAAAACTAGTATCTCTATACACCAGAGTCTAATAAAAAAAATAAGGAAGGTAAATGACATAAGAGGGAATGCAGGGGACTCCGAGGTCTGCGGACGCGAAAAATATACCTTGAAGTCTCTGTACAACAGCAAGCACTCTCAGCTAGTAGCGAGGCTGCTAAGAAATACCTGGATCTGCACATAAAATATGTGCAGAAGAGTAGCATGAGTACACCATAATGGTACCCAGTAAGTGCCAAGCCTAACCTCGGTAGAGTAGTGATGAAGTCAGTTCCGGGCCCTACTGGTATATAATAATAAGACAAATGCAATAATGAACATGAAGTAAAAATAGAAAAAGACAACAACAAGTATCCACAAAGCAATAACAACACCGCACAATGATATAATGACATGTGCGCTCCCAATATACTATCTCGTAGTCCCAAAAGTAAATATGCAGGGAGAATTCCCGAGGAACCGCCTTATAGTCTCAAAAGTAAATGTGTAGGGAGAACTCCCGAGGAACCGCCTCGTAGTCTCAAAAGTAAATGTGCATGAAGAACTCCCGAGGAACTGCCTAGTAGTCTCAAAAGTAAATATGCGGGGAGAACTCCCGAGGAACCGTCTCGTAGTTTCAAAGTAAATATGCAGTACATGGGGATCTCCCGAGTAAACGCCTCATAGTCCGAAAATAAATATGCAGTACAGGGGGATCTCCTGGATAACGTCCCGTAGTCCCAAAATAAATACGCAACTCAAACAAATGAATATAACAGTTACATCAAGAAAACCTATAATTTAGGCTAAGTACAAGTCAAGAAAGAAACAAGACTTACTAAACATGCTGCAAAGAGTTCAAATAGGCAATTAGGACACGTAGACATGCTATTCTAGGCTAACAGCATAACTACACATGCTAGTATACTCAGATAAGATGAAAACGGGCTATTACTCAATAAAAATCAGGTTTTTCCACAAATAGCTCGTGTACGCACTCGTCACCTCGCGTACACGGCGCTCACATATCATAACAACACCAAATCCTAAGGGAATTTCCCCCACACAAGGTTAGGCAAGCCACTTACCTCGAACCGAGCTCAAATCAATCCGTAACAATGCGCTTTTCATGAATATCCGACTCCGAATGGCCCAACTATAGCCAAAATCAATTACATACCATAAATACAACTATAAAAAATTAATCTAATTAATGAAATCAAGACTTTAACAAAAATTTCGAAATTCGTCCTAAAGGGTCGACCCGGGCCCATGTCTCATAATTGGGCAAAAATTATAAAATCCGAAAGCCCATTCACTCACGAGTCCAACCATACCAAATTTATCAAAATCCGACCTCAAATGACCACTCAAAACCCAAAATAAAACTCTCCAAATCCCTAGCCCCAAACTCCCAAATTCCACCTTAAATACAAACTAGCTAGGTGGAAAATAAATGGGTAAGCAACATTATTGATCAAAAATAAGCACAAGGGACTTATCTCACGAAATCTCTCGAAAATGCTCTCAAGAAATCGCCAAACCCGAGCTCAAAATGTTTAAAATGAGCAAAAATTGCGAACCCTTGCATTTAAGTGTGCTGTCCAGCATTTTCGTATCCGCGGACCTCTAGTCGCACCTGCAGAAAAACCATCGCATGTGCGAAAATGACTTAAGGAGGCTGGGTCCGCATCTGCGAGCAATGGGCCGCACCTGCACGCCCACTCCTGCGGATATCTTCCGCTTCTACGATCCTCACGCTCCAGGCCTCATCGCATGTGCGAAAATGACTTAAGGAGGCTGGGTCCGCATCTGCGAGCAATGGGCTGCACCTGTGCACCCGCTCCTGTGAATATCTTCCGCTTCTGTGATCCTCATGCTCCAGGCCCCGTCCGCTTCCGCGCTCCATCTTTCGCAGATGCGGGTCCGCTTCTGCAGGCCAATCTCGCACCTGCTCCCACAAACCAAGCTTGACCAAACCGCACCTGCGCTCCTCTTTCCGCACGTGCGAGTCTGCACCTGCAGTCACCCCACCGCAGGTGCGAAAACACCAGGAACCAGAAACTTCAGCAATTTGCATAAGTCCAAATTCAATCCGTTAAGCATCCGAAACACGCTCGAGGCCCCCGGGACCTCAATCAAACATACCAACCAGTCCTATAACACCATACGAACTTAGTCTAGCCCTTAAATCACATCAAACAATGATAAAAACACGAATCACCCTCCGATTCAAACTTAATGAACTTGAAACTTCCAATTTCTAGAACCGTTGCCGAAACCTATCAAACCACGTCCGATTGACCCCAAATTTTGCACACAAGTTATATTCAACATTATGGACCTACTCCAACTTCCGGAATCGGATTCTGACCCCGATATCAAAAAGTCCACTACTGTCAAAATCTCCAAAAATTCGACTTTCGTCATTTCAAGCCTAAATGAACTACAGATCTCCAAAACACAATCCGGACACGCCCCTAAGTCCAAAATCACCCAACAAAAATAACAGAACCGACTGAACTCCATTCCGGAGTCATCTTCACACAGTTCCGACTACAGTCAAAATCATTAGGCTTAAGCTTCTGTTTAGGGACTAAGTGTCCCAAAACACCCCAAAAACCAAAACAAAACCTCCCGGCAAGTCACATAAGCTGAAACAGATACGGGGAAAGCAGTAAATAGGGGATCGGGGCTACTCCTCGGGCTATGATTTCAGCACCAGCTACCGCCCCACCTGCTCAGCCAGCTCGAGGTGGAGGTCGGGGAGGTCGAGGTTGCCCTAGAGGGGGAGGCCAGTCCAGATATTATTCTCTTCCTGCTCATACAGAGGCAGTTGCTTCCGACTCTGTCATTACAGGTATTGTCCTGATCTGTCATAGAGACGCATCGGTATTATTTGACCCAGGCTCTACATATTCCTA